GGAGTTTGGGGCTGTTGTACATAGGGTCGCTATGAGTCGCAGGCGACTCGACGGCACATAACAACAACAACAACAACAACTATCAGATCACCTTTCTTTGGACTGAGAACAATTAATAGATTTCTTCCAGTCGGTTGGCCAGGTGATTGTCCTCCAGATTTCTTGACACAACTTGGTGAGCTCATCTAGGGCAGCATCTGTTTGTTGAATATATCAATTGGTATATCATTAATTCCTGAGGCCTTGTTTTTTACTTAGAATATATCCTGAAAAAATGAGAACTGAGGCACAAACAGAGATTTGTATACCAGTGATCATAGCGGCATTATTCACCTTCGCAAGAACAAAGAAATAGCCCAAATGTCTAACCACAAACAAATGGATTGAGAAATTATGATACACACATACAATGGAATACTATGCATTATGCAGGAGCAAAGATTTTGTAAATTATTACCTCAATTGGGAGGGGCTGGAGAGCATTATGCTGAGTGAACGAACTTAGTCACACAAGGACAAATATTGTGTGAAATCATTATTGTAGAATGATTATAAGGATCCAAGGGAGGTAGGGGAGTGTGAAGCAGAGGAATGAGGAAGTGCAGGGGAAGGGGAAAATTAATCATGGAGTTGAACAATTTGATGGGTTGTGGGTTGTGGGATATTGGAAGAATTTGTTCTCAAAAACAATGTATTCAAATTTTGTAAATAAGCTAGTTAAAATTAAAGAGTTGAGTTGCTATCATGACTGTCAGCAAATATAGTAAATCAGGTACTGTTTTTATAGAAAGCCTCTAAAAAAATAAAGAATTCTGTACTACCTTTACAAATATCAATCTGATTGTGCTGTAATCTTACTGCTATTGTAATTTAAATGTCTGTTCAGTAACACATATGCTGAGATTTCAATTGCTAATGCAGCATTCATGAGCAAGATGATAGAAAAACATGCTTTTAACTTTTCTTTTTTGTGATTTTCTCTCAGTGTTTTATTTTTGTAAGTTTAATTACCCTAAATATGTTTTCTGTAGGGACATCTGCACAGCAGTTGGATGCCACATTTAGTACCAGTGCTTCCCTTGAGATATTTGAATTAGACCTTTCTGATCCGTCCTTGGATATGAAATCTTGTGCCACTTTCTCTTCTTCTCACAGGTATGAAATTTAGCATTAAAATTTATGTTACTCCTTAATTATGGTTGGTTTTATAGATGGTGCCTCGTTTGTCTAAAACTATGCCATTATTAGAAACTTTGCAAGGAATGCCTTCAGTGAGAGGAAATATTGCATGAAAAATCATGAGTTTTTTTTTCAAGTTAAATAAGTGTTTATATTTTCTGTTGATTTTATTATTAGTGACTGGTGAATAAAGGAGCTTTAGTGGCTAAAATACTCAGCAGCTAACCAGAACATTGGTTTGAATACATTAGTTGCTCAGAGAAAGATGCACCTATACTGATTTAGAGCCATGGGAACCCTATGGGCAGTTCTGCTCTGTACTGCAGGGTTGCTGTGATTAGGAATTGACAAGATGACAGTGAATTTGGCTTTGATTTGGATTCCTATACGTAGAGTAAGAGAGACTCCAATTTCTAGTGTTCTTTCTCAGGGTACAGTGAATTTCCTTTCCTCCATTTCCTTTACTTGTTTGTAAGAAGGGGTTGGTATGACAAGAAAAACGTTTAAACTGGATATATATTAAAATATAAACGGTAGTTATGTCTATAGACAATTTATATTTTCTTTGTAATTATGTAAACCCATTGTCATTGAATATTTTTTGACTCATTACAACCCTATAGGACAGAATAGAAATTCCCTGTAGGGCTTTCAAAGCTGCAAATCTTTACAGAAGCATACTGTTTCATCTTTCTCCTGAGGAAGCTGAGGAGTAAGCTGGTGGAATTGAACAACCAACCTTGAATTAGGAAGCCATTTCTTAATCTACTGTGCCACCAGTGCTCTTTGTGCTTATCTGTATTTAAAATATGTACTTAAAAACATTTTGTTGGTCAGATTTCTGATACAGTAGATATTTGGAACAGCTTTTCAAGTACTTAAAAGCTTTATTGCCACTCAAGATACTGGCATATGTTGGTAAAAAGATTGTACCTTAGCTACAGAGTACAACTCGTATCATGATCTTTTTTTAATCTTATGAGAGTCTTTCCTTCTTCCTTTTTTTTTTTTTTTTAAGTAAAGACCTTTTTTAATTGAGGGTCAAGACAATTTACAAATAGGTTATTACAGGGCCCAGAGATTTCTGAAGGAAGTGATATGAGGAGGAGACAGGTAAGAGAGTTTTAGTGACAAGAGTATGAGGAAATTCAATAACAATTTAGTAATTGGTTGAAATTTAGGTAATGGTTACAAAATTGGATGAGGTACAGTGAGATGACACACATATCTAAAATTGTTTTAAAAATTGTAAAATAATCTTTAAGTTAGGTACATGTGGCCTCAGAGCAACCATGAGCCCGTCTTTGCTTGACTACTTGGAAGGTGTGTAATTCCAAGATTGACTTTATATCACTTCACATATTTTTCAGAATTTGTTAATCCTCCCAGTGTGAACCCCAGATATCTGTTGCATAGTAGTTTTCTCAGGAGTACACCATGTATATTTATGACACCTTCATGCTTTGTCTCTATACTAGATAGTGATATTTTATTCTCCAACTGGAGGGGCCCTTGCAATAGAGGGTTTTAGTGTCACTCTCCAGTGCCATAATACATTCTTTTTTCTCAGAAAATTTCAATTAAACATCTTTAGTGTTTCTGCAGTAATTGGAGCAAGGGGGGGTTGGTGTCTCAGGACAGGGCAGCCTTCAGAGCTGCTGTATTAGGGTCGCTATGAGTCAAAGGCGACTTGACGACATGTAACAACAGCAACAACTGTTTTAACACACTATTTATTAATGAGTACTTCTGTAGTTCTAAGGAATGAATTTATTTTTCAAAGGAAGTAAGTGATTAGCTCCACTTCTATTTTTGGATAAACTAAAGGTGGCTTTTTTGTACCTAGTTGTCTAGTTTCTTAATGGTCTCTTGAACCATTTTTAGCCCATATATTTTGACACATAAAGTGAGTATTACTTTGCCATTCTGTATTACCTCCATAAAAGTATTTTACTCTCTTTGGATGAGCAGAGGGATAAAAATATAATATGTTGATAGAAGTATAAATAAAAATTAAAATGCCATTTCGTTGTATTTATACATAGTTATTAAGAGTAGAAGAACAGCATTGTTTTTGGTGTTTTTATGAAACATAAATGATTATGTAGGTTCAGATTGTTTTCCTTGACTTCACAAATGAATTACTTTACTCATTTTATCTTAAAGGTACCACAAGTTGATTTGGGGACCTCATAGGATGGATTCAAAAGGAAATTCTTCTGGAGTTCTGATTGCAGGTGGTGAAAATGGAAATATTATTCTCTACGATCCCTCTAAAATTATAGCTGGAGACAAGGAAGTTTTGATTGCCCAAAATGACAAGCATACTGGCCCAGTAAGAGCCTTGGATGTGAACATTTTTCAGGTTAGGCTTTAATATTTATTAATAATTTATAAAATATCTACAACCCTGTATTGAAATAAGATATGAATTTACAATGTCTTGTTTTTGGAACTGAAAATAATAAGTATTTCTTTTGCAGGTTGGTGAGTGTCTGTGTTTGAAAATTAATTCAGAGTTGGGTTCAGAGTAGGAAGCATTGACTCTAGGAATCCAGAAATTGGGCGGATAGGTTTATTTCTACAAGACTAGAGATGTCACTGCCGACTGATTGGATTTGGGGGAGAGGAATTAGCTCCATTGATTAGAGACCTTTAGGATTTTGTGTCATTCCAGTATGTATATCCATTGCTTTTCTGATACTATGGCATTTGTATTAATTCTCGTTTATTTTATTGAGAAATTTTGTAATTATTCCAAAAAGACTGCTGCTCTGTCAAGTAAGTAGAAACATATTTAATATAAAATGCAACATTTTTTAAATAGGCAGTTACATTTTCTCATTTCCCACTGTTAACATAAATATATTCAAATACTAGATAAATGCTTAAGTTAGTAAAGACCTTGTATGAATTATTTATTAGACTATAAAAAGTACACATGAATGAGTAAGAAGTTGTTGTAGTGTACCATCAAGTCAGAACAGAACCATAGCCGACCATCCAGCAGGTTTTTAGAGGCAGTTATTAAATCGCATGGGAAAGAGATTGCCCGTCCTCTCCCACAGAGCCGCTGGAGGATTTGAACTGCATTACTTCAGGACTGTAGCACAGCTTCTTACCACTAGGCCATGAATAGATAAGATATGGAAATATAAACCCAGACTGTATGTCTTTAGTTTATGTTGTTGTCCACTTATATTAGCTAGCTGATTCTTTTTCTTTTTAGTGAGATTTTAATGAAAGTTTATAGAGAACTTGGATTTCCATTTATTCATTGTTGCACATTTTCCTCCATGTTCCCCCCCACCAATGAAAAAAATTCTTTCATTGTTGTACCATTCCCCACCTCCACCTCACTCCACTTTACTGTGCACAGTAGCTGGTTCTTTTGTTGATTGGATTCAATGACTGCTTTGGTAAAAGGATCTTAACATTTTAATTGCTCACTACATAGAATTCCTCTATTTCTTGGAAAAGAATATATGAGAGTGACAATAAGGAGGGAGATTGTTTCTCTATGAAGCTCATTATCTTATCTTACTATATTCTGTAATTATAATTTTATCGTCCTTTTGGATGTGCAACAGAGATAGTTTGTAAATATTGCCACATGGTTAAAAGACTGAGTATAAATGTATACATAGAGATTTAAGATAGGAGATTCTACTGGCTCGTTCATGTTTGACCTAAAACCTGGCTTTGAGGTATCCTAAAAAATTTGCTAAAAGATTTGTATGATGTGATAATTAATAAATGTTTTGCTATCATCTCAAGTCATAACCCCTTTTACAAGGCCAGAGATGCCACAAATCTTGATCCATAAATAGTTTTGTGATTGATTTTATAAATAATTTATCTATATGATTGTTCCGTTATGATACATTTCTCTTACTGTTTTAATTTCACTTAAGAATTAAAATGGATAGGGAGCTCTGGTGACCTAGTGGCAAGACGCTGCACTTCAATCCCAGAGGAACGTGGTTCAAATCCACCAGATGCTCTGTTGGAGAATGAGGGGACAGTCTCTTCCTGTACCAGTCAGATCTGATTTGACAGTACACATAAAAAAGAATAGATAGATAGATAGATAGAAAATGGATGATAAGGGATGATGATGTCATACATAGATGGTTTTTTTAATTAAATGGGACAGTTATATGAACTAAAACTATACCAAGTTTTTCTAGCTCTGACATGGATTATTCTGCGTTCTTGAAGTGTTCATAAATGTTATGTAGTTTTTTTTGTTTTTGTCTTTTTGTAGACTAATCTTGTAGCCTCTGGTGCTAATGAATCAGAAATCTGTATTTGGGATCTTAACAATTTCGCAACTCCAATGACACCAGGAGCCAAAACACAGGTATTTCATTGATTTTGATTATGAAATCAGAAGATATCTAACAAAAAATAGTTCTTTTGAAATTCTTTATTGCTATTTGAAATTTTTCACAAAAAAAAAATATGTTTAAAATTACTATTTAGAGGTCTCTGCTTTCCCTTCTGTATAGTAAATTACTAACATGTACACTTCTTCACAGTGCTAAGGAGTCTTTTTCAACAACAAAAATACTTCACCATCTCTGTGTATAAGGCATAGAGAAGTGGCCAAAATAGACAAAAATTATTAGTAGTTTCCTTACCTGTAATTAATTTTGTACTTTGTGTGATGACTACTTTATCTGAACAGCATCCAACCATTTAATAAAAATCATGAAGTGGAAAAGTAAACTTCTTGGGGAAAAAAATTCTCAATTCCTTTTTCTGTGCATTTGTATGTTGTTGTATACCAGCATCAAGTCAAAACCAACTCATAGGCTGACCTTCCAGGGGGTTTTCAGACACTGTAAATCACATAGGAGGAGAGTGCCCATCCACCAGCTGGTGGATTAGAACCTCATGTTTTGGGATTGCAGCACAGCTTCTTACCGCTAGACCACTCGAGCTCCTTTTTTTGTTGTTGTTGTTTTTGTTTTGTACAGACTACTTATTTTGAGCAGAAGCATAATGGGAGTATGTGGTCTACCATTTATGAAGGTGTTTTCCTATTGGTCCAGGATTTAATATTTGCTCTGCCTACTTGTCTGCGATGTCACCTATCTATTTTGTGGTAGGCAGTTTTGAAGCAGGAGTGGTATCCACTTCCTAAACAGCATGCCTGTGGAAACTCTATGAAGTTTGAAAAATGACAAGATTCAGGCCTTTTGTTCATAGGGTTGCTGTGAATCATGCTCGACTCAATGGAAATCAACAACAACAGTCTTCTTCATAAGTATAAATAAAAGAACAGTGCTTTGTAAACAGTAGGAGCTCAAGGAAATGCTCCTTTTGTATGAGCATTTTATAAGTGAGGCAGTATTAAACAAGATAAAATATTTGAAATAGTATGTATGTACATGTGTTTTAAACGGATTTGTACGCTTTGAGAATTTAGAAAGATTTATAGACTGAAATACCAAATTTAATCATCCATTTCTTAAAAATAAAATCTAATTTTATAGTAAGTTTGATTAAAATACAAGAATGTTTTTAATAGTTTATTCCTTATAGCCTCCAGAAGATATCAGCTGCGTTGCATGGAACAGACAAGTTCAGCATATTTTAGCATCAGCAAATCCTAGCGGACGGGCCACTGTGTGGGATCTTAGAAAAAGTGAACCTGTCATAAAAGTCAGTGATCATAGTAACAGGGTAGGTATATGACTGATCTGTGGCAAGCATGTTATATTTCTGCTGTAGATTTCTCTGTTGTTTGACAAAGTAATGTTTCTCATTGAACATTATTGCAAAACCTTTCCTCTCACCTTTGGAGAAAATAATAAAGTTCCTTATACACCATGTTGGATATTATTAATGATGAAGACAAAAGTTAATTTAAAAACTTAGGATATCTTTTGCTAGCTGTTTCAAAGTATTATAGCAACTTTTATTTCATCTGTAGATTTTCCTAAATTGTAAAATTTCCTGTTAGGGATTTTATTTTCACTTTTCTGAACTTAGAGTTTCAAAACTCTTGGCTTTGTCTATTTCTGTAATTTAGATATTTTATAGTATATGTCTTCAGATACATTAAAGTAGCTTGATATAATTTAGGACTTTGTTTTATTTGTTTACGTGGATTATTTAATGTTCTACAAAATGAGTTTGCCTAAAGCAGGGAATACATACATAACTTTTAATACAACAACAATAACAAAAACTATTTAGAGGACTGTTCTTCAGGGTGTGTTTTTTTTTCCAAATTAGTTAGATTTTAGTGAGATCAAAGATATAATAAATTTTTAGTCATTTTCTGAAATAGTAGGATTTGAATTTTCAGGTAATATCTTTTTATTTTTTCTGAAAGTAGTGCATTTTAAAGTTATGTGTTTATGTATTTTTGGGTGAACTCCTTCCCTAGTTATAATTTTGATAATAAAACTGTTTTTTGGTATAGAGTTATTTTGGCTCAGAATGGATTTGTGTGTATCAAATAGCTGGATGAATTGAAAACACTTAAACATATTAATACTTTTAGGAAATTTAGCAGGTTTGGTTTTAGAATTTTTTGTTGGGGTGGTTTGTTTTTTTGTTTTTTTTAAAAATCACTTCACCTCCAGTCCTTCTCCCCAAAGAGAGTTGTTGTTTTATCATGTGCCGCAGAGTTGGAACTGACCTATAGCTGATCTGCCAGTGGATTTTTGGGGGCAATAAATCCCGTGGGAGGAGAGTGCCCATCCTCCTTCAGAGTGACTGGTGGCCTCAAACAGCGTGCCTTCGGGATTACAGCACAGCTTCTTGCCAGTAGGCAACCAGAGCTCCTGTTTTGTTATTTTTCTAAATAAACTAGATCTGAGTTGATATTTTTTATTGTTGGTATCAGTTAAGGTGTACTTCTCAATGTCATTTTGACTTTCCATAATGTATTGTGATTGATACAGTGTCAGCCTTGTTGTCTGTAGATGCATTGCTCTGGATTGGCATGGCATCCTGATGTTGCTACCCAGATGGTTCTGGCATCTGAGGACGACAGGTTACCTGTGATCCAGATGTGGGATCTTCGGTTTGCCTCCTCTCCACTCCGTGTCCTAGAAAACCATGCCAGGTATCATGTGACATCTCTAAACGTATTACTTTCCTTTTACTTTTCAAAATTAACTTTCTTGCTACTTGTAATGACTCCTGTTGTTGTCTGCTGTTGAGTCAGCAGATCTGTCTCATAGCTGACCCTCCAGCCAGTTTTCAGAGGCTTTATAATCACACAGGGAGGGATTGTCTGTCTTTCTCCTATGAACTATCTGGTGGATTCAAACTGCCTATTTTTATTTGGCAGTGCAACTCCTTACTACAAGGCCACAAGAGCTCCCAATTTTAAATATTCCTGGTAGGCATTTATTTCTTTTTAAATTTCAGCTTTAGGCAATTTCCTTTGTATCTCTCTTTCAAAAGTTAAGTAAATGATTAGTTTTACTTTAAGCAATAAAATATTTTACTGTACCAAATACAATTCTTTTCTATACACTGTAGCCAAATTATAACAGCGAGAAAATATATTAAAGGATTTTTTCAAGTAATTTAAAGATAAAAGTTCCATAATAATACAATGCTTTGAAGTAATTCTTGAAACGTACTGTGTTGTTGCTGTTAGTCGATTCTGATTCATGGCAACCCCACGTGTGCAAATAGAACTCTCCATAGAGTTTTTAATACTATTACCTTTCAGAAATGCATTATGAACCCTTACTTCTAAGATGTCTGTGGGTAAGTTTAAACTGCTAGTCATTGCTTTTAGCTAGCTCGGTGCTTAACTATGCCATCTAAGGACTATTTATGCCATCTAAGCACTCTAAGTTTTTTGTTGAGAAAATAGCAAAACTTAATCTCTATTATAGTTTCTAGTGTTTCCCCCCCCATAATCTAGTATATTAACTTTCCTCCTTCTACCTTTTACTTCTGCTCAAAGGTAGACAGGAATGTAGAAGAGACAAGGTATTAATAGTGGTTTGTTGTGTTTTGTTTTTATTAGTCATGGTTTTCTCTGAAGAGTGAAATAGGAATTTTTTATTTTCTTTAAAGCAGATTTGCAGTGTATAAATCTGAGTGGTCAGAATCTTTTCTAGGAAAAAAAATACTGCCTTAGTAATACTGAAGATGAAAAAATTCCAAACATTTTAAACCACAAGGAGAACTATAACAGTTTCGTTATAATTGTGATTATTTAAAAAAAATTGAGATTTATGCCAACTTTGTGTGAAGGAAATCTGTTGATATTTTTGAAATAGTGTGTCTATACTTGGTGGGGCTTTTTGGTCAATTTTTTGTAATTCTTGCAGTATTTCAAACTTTTCATAATGCTGTTTGTACACTTAAGGGAGCTCTGGTGGCATAGTTCATAATGAGCTTTGGTACTAATTCAAAGGATGCACTTCTCTGGTGGTTCACTTCCACCAGCCGTCCCACAGGAGAAAGATGGTCAGGCTCCTCCTATTATGTTTTACAACCTCGGAAACCCAATGGAAGGTCACTTTAAGTTGAAACCCACTCAGTGGCAGAGTTTGAACGAATGATTATACACTTAACAGACTGCTATAGAACATGAACGTGACTTTTATATGCCGTGGGACACTAGAAAATACATACTTCACTTTATTGTGATACTCATTTTATTGAACTTTTTTTTGAAACAAATCTGCAGTAACTTTGAGGTATGTTTATATTTAGATTTGTAATACTTCTTTGTGGAACAGACTTTTAGTTGTATTTTTTTACTTTAAAAAAAAGTCTCCCAAATCTTGTTAATAAAAGTAGTGCTTCTCCTTTTGTGATTGAGATATTTCACTCAGCATAATGTCCTCTAGGGTCATCCATTCAGCATAATATTTCATGAGTTCCTTGTTTTTCAGTGCTGCATAGTATTCCATTATGTGAATATACCAGAGCTTCTCTATCCATTCATTTGTTGTTGGCACTTGGGTTATTTCCAGCTCTTTGCTATTGCAAACAAAGCTGTGATAAATATGGGTGTGCATATATCCTCTAGGGTAGCGGTTATGGTTTCTTTAGGGTAAATTCCCAGAAGGGAATTGCTGGTACAAATGGTATTTCTATTTGTAACCTTTTGAGAAAGTGCCATACAGCTTTCCATTTTTGCAGCATTTTACATTCCCACAAACAGTGAAGAACGGTTCCAGTTTCTCTGCAACCTCGCCAACATTTGTTGCTTGCTGTTCTGTTAAATTTTGCTATTCTTACTGGGGTGAGATGATATCTCATAGTTGTTTTATTTGCGTCTCTCTAAGAGCCAGGGATTTTGAACATTTCTTCATGTGTTTGTTTGCCATCTGTCTTTTTTGTTGAAGTGTTTGTTCATATCCTGTGCCCATTTTTTAATTGGGCTATTTACCTTTATCTTAAAACCTATTCAAACCTCGAGTTGTTATAATCAAGGATGCTTTAGGCAGAATATTAAATGATCGAGGAAGTATAAAAGAAGATGGAAAGAATATACTGAGTCGCTGTATCAAAAGGAATTGGCAGACACAGAAGAATTTAATGAAATAACATATGCGCAAGAGCCTAGGGTGATGAAGGAAGACGTTCAAGTTGCGTTGAAGGAAATAGCAAAACATAAGGCCCCAGGAATAGATGGTATATCAGTTGATGTATTTCAGCTAACAGATGCTGCCCTGGATGTGCTCACCAAGTTGTGCCAAGAAATCAGGAGAACAACCACTTGGCCAACTGACTCGAAGAGATCTATATTTTTTCCCATTTCCAAAGAAGGGTGACCCAGCAGAGTGTGGAAACTATAGAACAATCTCATTGATTTCACATGCAGGCAAGATTCTACTGAAGATTATCCAAAAACGACTGGAACAGCACACCAACAGAGAATTGCCAGAAGTCCAGGCTGAGTTTAGAAGGGGTCGTGGTACTAGGGATATTGTAGCTGATGTTAGATGAATCTTAGCTGAAAAGCAGGGAATACCAGAAGAATGTCTATCTGTGTTTCATTGATTATGCAAAGGCGTTTGACTGTGTGGGTCATAACAAACTGTGGCTGACTCTGAGAAGAATGGGAATCCGAGAACACTTGATCATGCTAATGTAAAACCTATACTTGGATCAAGAGGCAGTCGTCAGAGCAGAGCAAGGAAACACTGCATGGTTCAAAATTGGGAAGGGTATATGCCAGGGATGTGTCCTATCTCCATACCTTTTCAGCCTGTATGCAAAACAGATTATCCAAGAGGCTGGGCTCTATGAGGAGAAGTGTGGCATCAGTATTGGTGGAAGAACTATTAACAATCTGTGTTATGCAGATGACACAACCCTGCTTGCTGAAACTGAGGAGAACCTGAAACGCTTGTTGCAGAGGGTCAAGGACTGCAGCCTTCAATATGGATTGAGGCTCAATGTCAGGAAGAGAAAGATTGTCACCACTAGGCCAATTGGCAACATCAGGATGGATGGTGAAAGACTGAGATTGTTAACAACTTTAGTCTGCTTGACTCCACGATCAACACTCTTAGCACCAGTAGTCAGGAAATAAAAAAAAAACATATTGCAGTGGGAAAGTCTGCTGTTAGTGACCTCTCCAGGGTACTGAAGAGCAATGGTGTCACCCTGGAGACTAAGGTGCGTCTGATACAGGCTATTGTCTGTGCAATCACTTGTTATGCATCAGAGAGTTGGACAGTGACTAGGGAGGATAGAAGGAGAATTGATGCCTTTGAGCTGTGATACTGGAGAAGAGTATTGAATGTACCCTGGACTGCCAAGAAAACAAACAGATTCATCCTTGAGAGGGTTAAAACAGGCTGCTCCTTCGAAGCAAGGAATCTGGGGCTTTGTCTGACACACTTTGGACATGTTGCAAGGAGAGACAGGTCCTTTGAGAGGGACATCATGCTTGGGAGGGGGGATGGTGCAAGGGGGAATGACCCTCTATGAGGTGGATTGATTCAGTGACTGGAGTAATCGGGATGGGTGTGTCAGAGGCAGTGCAATTGGCACAGGATAAGAACAGGGTTTAGGGCTGTTGCACATAGGGTTGCTATGATTCACAAGCGGCTCGATGGCATGTAACAACACAACAACATTTATCTTGTGGTGCTTGAATATTTTATAAATTCTAGATATACGTCCCTTATCTGACATGTCATTCCCAAATACTTTTTTCAAGTCTGTGACTTCCCTTTTTACCCTGTTGGAGAAGTTTTTGGATGTGCATAAGGATTTGATTCTTAGAAGGTCCCATTCATCTACTTTATCCTCTCCTGGTTGTAGATTTTCCAGGATGCTTGGAAGACTGTTTATGTTGTAGATTAGAACGTCCAGGGTTCTGTCCAATCTTTCCTTTAATGAAGTTTATAGTCCTTGGTTTTAGTCCTAGGTCCATAATCCACTTTGAGTTGGTTTTTGTGTATGGAGTAATGTGTGGATCTTGCTTGAGTTTTCAGCAGATAGTTTTCCAGTTTTGCCAACACCATTTGTTAAAAGGCTGTCATTTCCCCACTTGACTGATTTCATCTCCTTGTCAGAAATCAGTTGACCATAGGTAGATGGGCTGATTTCTGGGTTCTCAATTCTATTCCATTGTCTGTCATTGTACCAGTACCATGCTGTCTTGACCACCACAGCAATGTAGTAGGATTTGAAATCAGGGAGTGAGATGCCTCCTACCTTATTTCTCTTTTTCAGGAGTCCCTTGCTTATTTGGGGCCGCTTCCCATTCCAAATGAAATTAGAGATAGCCTTTTTCATCTTGTTGAAGAATGGAATTGGTAGGGCCACTATGGTGAAATAGGACTTACTTTGGGGTTGAGAGAAGATAAAGAGGGGGAAGAATGATGTATACTGCATTGCAACAGATGCGGGAGAGAGTTGTTTAAAAGGCATATATGATTAGGTATTATTGTCATGTCAGGAGTCCAGAATGAAGGCTTCACAGCGCATTGGACTTGGGGGGAGGGATTTCATAGCGATGAAAGAGTCTTTTACTTATCAAGGAGAAAAGTGTATTGGGGGAGGGGATTTGCAGGACAAAAAGTGCAAAAATGAATGACTGGAAACCCTAAGTCTCTGTAGACTTTCATTAAAATTAATAAGAAAATGAAGAAAGGATGATTTTGAAGAGGAAAACAAAAAGTAGTGTTTCTCTAATAATTAAAGTTGGAAAATGTAAACAAAGAAGTGTGAAATTGCCACATTTCTTACCCCTTTATAGGTAACACATTTCATTATATATGTCTAGTTACATACATAAATAGACATTTATTTAAATAATTCATACAATTTACATGGCATGATAATAATATTTAGTTTTTACATAAACATATAATTAATTAAATTAGCCTTTTTCTTTTTTAATTGTGAATGCCATATAAGAAGGAATAGATTTATACAACTAATTATTAAAGTTCTATGCATTTTTGCATCAAAAAAATGAAATGTACACTGCAATACCAGAGGTGAGCGGTTTGAATCCACCAGATGCTCTGCTGAAGAGGGAGGGACAATCTCCTCCTGTACCAGTAAGATCCCATTTGAGGTATGCACAAAAATCAAACAAACAAACAAATGTAACTTACTATTACATCATCCATGCTGATGAGCACTTTTTTACTTTGCTGTTACACACTTAGTGCTATAGAATATCATACATTTTTGCAATGAACAAAGAACACAAAAATTACTAACTTGCCTTCCAGAAAGATTTTATTAAAGTTTATACGTGAAAGTTTGACAGAAATGATTTGAAATTTGCTTGTCTTACAACGAATATTTCTGTTTATTCTTTTATATTTCTATAGGGGGATTTTGGCAGTTGCTTGGAGCATGGCAGATCCAGACTTACTGCTGAGCTGTGGAAAAGATGCTAAAATCCTCTGCTCCAACCCAAACACAGGAGAGGTATAGGAAATAAATGTTTGTAAACCTTAAAATTACTGTAAAAAAAGTTACTAGACAAAATTTTTGCATGGATTCTTAGTATACATCTTTAATATATTATTAAGGACATAGGAAGATAGATGAGGTGTATGTGAAATGTTAATATAGCAGAGATTTTATGAGAGAAATGATCTAGGCTCAGCTGTTTTAATCAGGAAATTCAGTTATTAAATATTTCATTTGAAACTAGTAAGGCTCATGTTTTATTTTTGTATTTATTTTTTTCATGTTTTAAATGTAAAGGGTTTACTTAGATGCAAAACTTTTATTTTTATTTACTTCACTTGTAGTACACACTTTTAAAAGAAAATACATACCTTTTTTGGGGGGGATGGGTAGTACATAATTTTTAATATAGCATTTGTTATCTGTCCTGCTCAGAAGTTCTACCTTCTTAAATATAAGTTTTGTATAAATAAAATTTCATTTGCTTGCTTAGGATTATATGCTAAAAAAATCTTAGCAATTACCTTTAGTGTTCTTAATAGTGAATAGTTTCTCTCCCTTTCAGTAGTGGCTAAGTGTCTATAGACTATAATTACAGCTTTTAAACTTTTATATATTTTCTAAATTAATGTAGGTTCTTGCAGATATTAAGTGTCTGGGTGGTGCACTTCACTGGTAATTGTAAGATTGGTAATTCAACCTACCGGCTTCTCTGCAGAAGAAACATGCAGTAGTCAGCTTCTGTAAAGGTTATCTACCGCCTTGGAAAGCCTATGGAGCATATAGGGTTATCCTGTGTCTTGGGAACTGTGATTTGGAGTTACTCAGGTGCTATGAGCTTGTTATTACAAGTATTCATGATACTGCTTTTTAAATTACTTTGGTGAAACACCAGTAGAAATGAGAGATCATTTTGAATAGATTTCTTAAATCTATGCTGATAAAATAAAAACAATCACTTTTTGTCATTTAGACTCTGATTTAAAATTTTCAAATGTGGCAATGTCTGTAAGATACAGAGAGATTAAAATCAGGGGAAAACACAAGGGGGAAAAATAAAATATGTTTTACTGCTTATGACTTGTGAAATAAGTAATAAAAAGACTGTCTTTGACACTATGTCCTAACAAGTAAATTTAAAATTCATAAGAATTACTGATCTGTCTTATTTTCTTTTCTATAATTTGATCAAATGAATGTTTACATGTGATGAGTTGCGTGTTCTTAGACTCAGAGGAATAAACCTTAATCTGTGCTGCACCTAGAACACACTGGTATCCTACAACTAGGCCACCAGAGCTACTCCAAAAAATACATACGGCATTTTCGAGAGCGTGACTATTCACTATAGGTTTCAGTTCTTTGTAGACTCTTCAACAAAAATAACAAAGAACAGATGTGAATGTAGTTGTGGGAATATTTGAATTATTCAGTTCTCAAAAGGAGTAAAGAATTAAAAGGCAAAACCATAAGATTAACAGAAACAATGACTTTTTTTTTAAAAAGGAAGTGAACTTGTAGAAAGGAAAATATATACTAACACACATCTTGAAGTTGCTTTGAACATTATTAGCCATTCAACAAAAGTCAGTGTAAATTTACTGAAGGAAATTTTTTTCTGACTAAAATATTCATCACAAAACAAATATCGAGACTACTGTTGTTGTATGTTGTTACGTTGAAAGTGACTCATAACTAACCCTCCAGTGGATTTTCAGAGGCCATAAATTGCCCGAGAGGAGATTTCCCATCCTTACAAGGAGCAACTGGTGAATTTGAACTGACTGTTTTTAGGTTACTGGTGCAACTCCTTACTCACTAGGCCACCAGAGCTCCCTCAGGCTATTGAATATAGGGTAATTTATAATTTGGGTGTTTTAAGGCTTCAATTTAGAAAGGATAGGTTTGTTTTTTTTTAATATTTTTTCATTTTAGAACACACTAGTAGATTTTTTCCATTTAAAGGGAGAATAAACAAGTGTTGTTCAATATCATTTCTCTGAGAGTGATTAATTTTTTTAGCATAAATTTGTTAAGGCTGAGTATATTTTCACTTAATTCCAATTCTCAGGAAAAAGCTTTTTAAATGCGACATCTAGCCTGAGTTAAACTAATTTGACTTATTTTTTGAAGCAAGAAGGCCTATTTTTCAAGAAGTAGTTGCTATTACTTTTTTTTTACTTAAAAGCAATCATGATACTATAAAGGTTTTATGTGAATTATTTTTTGTCGTTCTTTTTGTTGTAAAGAAAAAGTTATATGACTTGTATTATAACTGCAGCAATAGGAATGTGCATGGTTTTGTCTCTTAACTAAAAGTCAAATTTCCTGATAAATTCTTGCTTCTCTAGATGAATTTTAAAAATTTGTCTTGAATAAAGGCTTAAATACGATTGCATTTTGGTAGACATACACAGACAATATACCACTGATCTTTTGGAGTTTAACAAATTGGCTTAGTGTTTTCTGGTCTTTCAGATGTACCCACCAATAAAATTTTAATAAAAACAGGAATATTTCCATTTTTAAGATGCGTTTTTTTGAATATGGTTGAGTTTTTTTAAAAGTAGCATTCTTATTACCCTGATCAACTATCACAATAGACTATTTTTATAGTTTATAGACAGTATTGTTTTAAATGACTTTCTAAAAGAAAATATTTAACCCAGCTGTGCTAGTTGAGCATATTAACTCAAATAGCTAAATGGCTTTAAAGTGGCTATACCCTCTGCTGACTTTTTTTTTTTTGTCTTAGGTGTTATATGAACTTCCTACCAATACACAGTGGTGCTTTGATATTCAGTGGTGTCCTCGAAATCCTGCTGTCTTATCAGCAGCTTCCTTTGATGGACGCATTAGTATTTATTCTGTAATGGGAGGAAGCAGTGATGGTTTAAGACAGAAGCAAGTTGATAAGGTAATAGGAAATAACTAAGGTTTTGATTATAGCACCTGAAAAAGAATTGTACTGTGATTATTTTGAAAATGATTTTTTTAATTGCATTGACTGTCTGTTCTGCTAAGATTAATAGTAGACTAGTTATTAAAAGGCAGATATCAATAATGTCTCAAATGTTTGATCTGCTCTACCACTCCATCAATTCTGACATCAGCTGTTCTTCCCTACTCCTTTATGTCCCTTGGGTTCTGTGGTTCACTGGAGGGTCTCATAGAAACTCAGATTTCTCATGGAGATGACTCATGACTGTGGGTGATGCAGGCTGGTGTGGCAGAAACTGGTGAGCAATGGGCTAAGACCTTGTAGACTGGCAGTTGCAATGCACTTGAAGCTGTGACCCAGGAGAGCATAAACATTGAGCTTCCATGAGTTTATGTCTAGTGGTAAGAAGCTGTGCTGCAATTCAAAGGCACGTAGTTTTGAATCCACCAGCTGCTCTCTGGGAGAAAGATGGACAGTCTCCTCCTCTGTGATTAACTGCTTCTGAAAACCTGCCAGAGTGTCAGCTCTGGGTCAGTTCTGACTCAACAGTACAAAACAACAAGTAGGATATGACTCATATCCCATCCTAATCCCAATTCCTTAATATAGTAGATACTTCAGTTCAAAATGAGAGGCTATGAATGGAAGGGCACATCAATTCACTGTGTCACATCACCCCGTGTTGTTGTTAAGTACTGTTGAGACCACTGTGATTCAGAGTGACCCTGTGAAGAACAGATTTGAACCCTGTTCTGTCACGCACCATTCTCATCATCTCTGACACACCTGAGCCCGTTGCCTCTTTTGTCGTCAGTAGTGCCATTTAATTAGTTATTATTGAAAAATTTATTGGATGTGACAATTAAAAATGTGACGTAAGTTACAGCTTTGTATGTTACTGTTTGCTTAAGCTTTCCTCATCTTTTGGGAACCTGGATCCTTTTGGCACAGGACAACCTCTTCCTCCACTACAAATTCCACAGCAGACTGTACAGCATAATATAGTGCTGCCTCTGAAGAAGCCACCCAAGTGGATCCGAAGGCCTATTGGTGCTTCTTTTTCAGTAGGTAGATTTTGTTTTATGGTATATGGGCACATGGGTACAAAGAACTTTTCATAGTGTTGTTATAAGATCCTTCTAATGGAAGAAGTTTGTGTTGGAGATGTCTGTGTATTTTATATCATTCAAAATGGTTTATTACAAAAAGATGTGACCTATTTCTCTCCTCTCTTGATTAATCTTTTTGTCGTCTCCTTTTTTTTTCCAGTTAAGAGAAGACCCTCAATTTTTACCAGCTTTTTATTATGGAAATTTTTTTTTTGGAAATTTTTAAAAAAAATTAATTTCAGTGAACATCTACAGAGAATCTGGACTTCATTCAGTTCATTGTTGTACTTTTCTCCCCGCTCACCCCACCCCCACCCCCAGTTCGCTCTTCTCCTTGAAAAGCAAAAGAAAAACTCTTTTATTGGTATACAATCCCCCCCACACCCACCCCGAGTATACTCCACTCTACCACCCTCATTCCGAACTCTTATGATAATCATAATGCCCTAAAATATATTGCTTTTAAACTATTCTTTCCCTCATCGGCTTCAATGCAGTATACATAATTTATCCAATTTTTCTCAGTCTTACCCCAACCCTGATGTCAGTCTCATTCTACAACAGTGGCACCATGCCTTTTTGTCCTTTTGTCACTGATGTATTTCAGTCAGCATAATGTCCTCCAGGGTCACCCATTTTGAGTAATATTGCATGAGTTCTTATTTTTCAATGCAGCGTAGTATTCCATTGTGTGAATAAACCATAGATTTTCTATCCATTCATTTGTTGATGGGCACCTGGGTTGTTTCCAACTCCTTGCTATTGTGAATAAAGCCGTGATAAACATGGGTGCGCATATATCTGCTTGGATATCAGTTATGGTCTCTTTGGGGTATATTCCCAGTAGTGGAATTGCTGGGTCAAATGGTATCTCTGTTTGCAACTTTTTGAGAGAGTGCCATACTGCCTTCCACAGTGGTTGCACCATTTTACACTCCCACCAACAGTGAATATAGATTGCAGTTTCTCCGCAACCTCGCCAGCATTTGTTGCTTGCTGTTCTGTTAAATTTTGCTATTCTTACTGAGGTGAGATGATATCTCATAGTTGTTTTGATTTGCATCTCTCTTAGAGCTAGGGATTTTGAACATTTCTTCATGTGTCTTTTTGGCCATCTGAATGTCTTTTTTGGTGAAGTATCTGTTCAAATCCTGTGCCTGCTTTGCAGTTGGATTATTTACCTTTATCTTGTTGTGGTGAAATAATTAGTATTTGTACATTCCTAAGTTCTTTTATCATTAGTATTTTTACATTTTTAAGTTCTTTTAGTATAGCTATTCAATAGTAGTACATTCTATTGCTTTGTTTTGGCTGAGTTTTAAAAGTTCATATTACAATTGTTTCATATTCACTACAGAAACATTTAAGTAAATATTGAAAATCATCTGGTGAAACCCAGTTTAGATCTTGCTTCTAGGTAAAATTTTACCCCAGTTCTCCAGAACTCATTGGTTTTGTCTTTATGTGAAATGTATAATATTATCTGTATATCAGTTAGACCATGTGTGCCTGTTATATTTAGTTTTATCTTCATGTTCAATCCCTTGAAGATAGTAGTTTGTTATTTCCTTAGGTCTTGATGTTTCTTATAATGCCTGACACGATATACTTGAACAAACCAGATACTTAGTAAAATAGATTTATGTAAAGCATGTATAATCTTTATATAAAATGTTGCAGAGTATGAAGAACCAAATTTGGTCCTGTGTTTATTCTCTTATGTTTATTTTTTAAGAATGAATGTGTTATATGGACTGTCTGCTTGCTACAAAGAAGTTAATACTTAGGTATTATTATAAGAGATAGTTATGAGACTAGGTATTATTATAAGAGATAGGAGAGTAAAGCAAACACAGGGCCTGCCCTAAAACAACTTGAAACAAGTACATATATCTAATAGTTGAATCGAAGGATATTCATACGTAATATACTGAGGTTTTTTTCTTTAAATGCTTTGTGGAGAGGTGACATTTCCTGTTCATTGGGAGATAAGTGTTGATAATATAGGAAGTAGTAAAAATAAGTAGATGAGAAATTTAGGGACACAGTAAATAGTACATTTATTTAGGAACTAGGTTGTATGGGCAGAAAAGAATCATTGAAAAAACAAAACAAAATCATTGAATGCTGGGGCCAGGTTGTGGAAGGTGGCTGACTAAATGTATCAACTAATTTTATTCCAGTTTTTATGTAATTATGTCATAGATCTTTCCTTTAAGAGATTTCCAGTGTACACTTTTCTTTCCCCCACATCCTTGTAATTCAAACTGATTTTGTTTATTTGTTCTTTTATAGTTTGGAGGCAAACTGGTTACCTTTGAAAATATCAAAATGCTGCCTCAGCAGGGAGCGGAGCCACAGCAGCACCAGCACCATGTGTTCATTAGCCAAGTCATAACAGAAAAGGAATTCCTCAGTCGGTCTGACCAACTTCAGCAGGTCGTGCAATCACAAGGCTTCGTCAATTATTGTCAGAAAAAAATTGAAGCTTCTCAGACTGAGTTTGAGAAAAATGTGTGGTCTTTCTTGAAGGTAAAGTTGATATTTAACACTTTTACTTCATTATCAGATAATTTTAACTGTGCCCATTATATTCTGAATCTGACTTCTGATTAATGAAACAATTGGTAGAAGGATAACTTCACTACTAAGATGTGGAGAAAAGTCCAAAAAGTAAAGGAAAAGGAGGGTAAAGGTGGAGAAGGGAGGAAATCATTATGATAACAATTTGATGAGGGAGGTGTGTATGTGTGAGGAATTAGGAAAGATCTAGTGGGGACCTGAAAAGATGGAGTGATAGTAGGTATAAGTCAGTGGGAATTAATTTTATAAAACACAGTATACATAAAAAAATTAAAAAAAACAAACAAACCCCAAAACCCACAATGTGCATGAGTGATTGAAACATAATGTGAATGTAGGAATATATGAAACACAGTGTACACGAATGATAACACAGTGTATATGAATTTTGTATGCAAACTAATATAAAGTTAAAATTATGTGGCGAGAAATCAGGAAACAACTGGGAATGTATAATTTCAGGATCTTTATGAAATTTAAGAAACTTCACAAAGAGCACTTTGCTTAGCTTTTTATGTCAAGAGTTCCTCTGTCCCTGCTTTGAAACACTTAATATAAAATACTTATATAAAATAAGTATAAAGTACTTCTATAAAATTAGCATAAGCAATATAATAGCTATAAGTAAGGGAGGTGAATTCAATGAATTACTTTAAAATCAAAGCATAGAATATGTAATTGTATGATAGATTTGGCTGAGAAAAAAGGGAAAAGGAGACAGAGGCATAAGATAAGAAAGGTGGAGGCTTTTCTTATCTTGCCTTTAAGAAGAGTCAGGAAAAGAATTCCTTTTACTGAGTGACATTTATGATAAGAGTAAAAGAAAATTCTGTTTGGCTATTCTACCACTGCAATGTCTATTTTTGCTACTGGATTTTCAAAGGAAAGAGATATTGAATATTATAATAGGTTTAAATTTTTAGATTGTTGTTGTTATGTGCCATCAACTCATAGAAACCCTGTGTACAGCAGCTCTGAACCCTGCTGTATCCTGAGCCAACATTGTTGTCTCTGGCACACCTACTCCCATTACCCTCATTACTGAGTCAGTCCATCTCTTCAAGGATCTTCCTCTCTTGTGCTTTCCTTCCACTGTCCCAAGCATAATGTCCTTCTCCAAGGACTGGTTCATCTTTGCAACATGTCCAAAGTATGTCAGACCCTGTATCTGTCCCTGCTTTGAACCACTCAATATAAAGTACTTATATAAGTATAAAATACTTCTATAAAATAAGCATAAGCAATATAATAGCTATAAGGGAGATGAATTCAGTGAATAACTTTAAAAATCAAAGGATAGAATACGTAAATTGTATGATAGATTTGGTTAAGAATAAAGGGGGGGAAGCAGCTTCAGAATCCTTGTCTCCAAGGAGCAGCCTGGTTTCACCCTCTCTAGGATGAACTTGTTTGTTCTCTTAGCAGTCCATGGTATATTAAAATTACAGATTTTATTTTCATATTTTATCATTAAGCACTAATTTGGGGAAAGTTATTTGAAGATACTGGATGTTCCATATAGTGAGAATTTTTAATTCATGTACTCTTTTGAAATGAACTACTTTGTATTTATAAAAATTATAATTAAAAATGAGTTTAATTCATCTAGGAATAATTCATTACTAGCATAGTTAATTATATCTTACAAATTTGAAACCAAAAATTTTTTCAGTTCCTTCTTACAGTAAGGTGTCTAAAATTAATAACAATGGACCTTAGATATACTTTATGATCCTATTTAGAATTTAATTTAAATGTATTATAAAATTTAGACCTTAAAGTGTGAATAATTTGTTTTCAAGAATGCGTCTTTTTTAAAAGGTGAACTTTGAGGAAGATTCTCGTGGGAAATATCTTGAACTCCTGGGCTTCAAAAAAGAAGATTTAGGAAAGAAGGTAAATATTTAGAGAGAAATGGCTGAGTTTATCCAGGTAAAACATTTAATGGAGCATGCTCCCTTTTTTCCTTTTTTCATTAAGACTTCTGGATAAACCTGGAAGACCTACTAGACAAATTCTAAAAGAGCCATACCACTACTGTAGCATGTTTTTTAAAAAATAAATACCTCACAGATTATCTCTTGTGAGCCAGTAAACATTTAATAAAAGTGTTTGCTAAAATTTTGAACACAGCTGCTTAAGTAAAGGTTGAAATTCAGGCTCACTTAAAAGCACTTCAGGTGAAAGATTTAGTGATCTGCTTTTGAAAAGTGAGCCATTTCAAAACCCGTTGAGCCATGGTTCTGCTCTGACACACGTGGGATAATTAAGATTTGGAGTTAGTTCAGCTAGTTTAACTGGTTTAAGGGAGTTGTGAAAGTTTGATGCTATCTATTTTATAGGCATTGAGGTGGGACTTTCTTTTCAAAAAGGTGTGGATGCTAAATATAGAAGATCACAAAGGGCTTATTTTTTTAAAGTTTGATGGAGCAAGGAAGTCTGTAACTTCTGAAAGGACAAAAAAACCTGGAAAAAATATAAACTGAATTGGAGCTCTTAGCTTGCTCAGTATAGATTAACAGTGTTTTGGAGCAGAGTAATGTTTTAAGACTCTCTTAAACAGAGGGAAGTCATATTCTTGTTTTACAGTTTGTTTGTTTGTTTTAGTTTTATAGTTTTTGTCTGCTGAGGATGCAATTCTTATGTAGAATTTTGTTATTCTGTATATCAACACCAGCAACAGGATTAGTGATGCACTGATTTTGGAAGCCTGTGGAGGAAATGGATTATGTCCTTTCAGCATGTTAGTTTATTACAAGGCTTTGAAAATGATTGGTATTACAGAGAGATGTACATGGTCCAGCTTAAATACTGCACACACTGGGGAGTTGAGGATTAAAGTCAGGCCACCTGGGATTCCATACAGCCCGACTGCTTCCTGACTATTTTGTCTTTGCTTACTCCTTTGGAGATTTTGCAGTTAGCTTTTTATCATTTTAAACTGGATACTGTAGCTTTTTAGATTTGTCAGAGGTAAGTGAGAAAATTTTACATGATTCATGCCTGCTAGCAAAAATAAGGAAATTGAGTTTGATATTAAAAAAACCCTATGGCAGTTCTCTCCATAAATGACTACCTGAAGGAATATTTTTTAAAAATTTATCATAACTAGTGTATTTAAAACAAAGTAGAAGAAAATATTTTTGTTTTTGAGTTGTATTTGTGATTGAATAGCATCTGTGCAGTTGAACTTCATGTGAAAGAAATGAAAACTATTGAGACCAGTACTGAAGAGATATTTTATTCTTAGGTGCATTACCCTCATCTGAACCTTGGTGAATTTTGTCAGACTAGAGTAAGAGAGGTGACATTTTCTGTATAACCCTGATAAAGAATTCAGCTTAGTAGGTAAATTGTTACTTTGTTTCAGATTGCTTTGGCCTTGAACAAAATGGATGGTCCTGATGTGGTAAGAAAGCCTTTAAAATGATCTGCCTTAAAAAGTTTTTTGATTTTAACAATTAAGAATAAAGAGAAAAGAAATAACTTGTCTGTTGTCTCACAGTATAAAAGTAAATGCTTCTAGATAATTTAGAAAGCTAAGAATTCTTATTTGAAAATAGAAAATGTAACTGATAGTAAGCTTTCCATTCATTCGAGATATTTGAGTTTCAACAGGAAAATCACTGTTCAGTACTTAAAAAGTAATTTGTTGTTGAGGGCTATTTGGTAGATAAGAAAGGAAACGTGTTAACAGTATTACCCTTTGCTTTTCCTCTAGTGGTATTTCTCAAAGAAAATGACTGGGTACTGCTTCTTATGATTAAACTGGTTCTAAAGGTTGTTGATTGGGTCTTTTGTTTCCTTTGTTTACTAATAACCTTTTAATGCTATATTCTTCAACTTGCCCTCTAATTGTTTTGTGTACCAAAGGCTCTTAAAGACTCTGACCAAGTAGCACAGAGTGATGGGGAGGCGAGCCCTGCTGCTGAAGAGCAGCTCTTGGGAGAGGTACCTGTTTACTTATTTTCACTTTTAACTATATTTGACAATGACATTTATATATTGCAAAATTGCTTAACATTCGTCTATGGAAAATTATCTTGACTACTTGTTCCAGAATGCAGTTGGAGTATATTACTTTCTTAGAGATCTCTAGGGTAGAAATCCACATACCTAAACTGACAGAAATAACATCTCTGAATGCTTTCATTCTTTGAAGCTTCTGGGTTGTATGTTTTAAAATGAATAATTCATATAGTAGATAGATGCAAGATACCAAACTTAAGAGATCTGGAAATCCACATTGTATACATATAAATTGTAGTATTTTTTTTTCCTTGACATTACTATTTAGGACCCATTCGCAGTGCTATGGGTTTCTAAATCATTTCTGAACTTTGAGTATATTTAACTGCACTGTCATGACTTACTGGCGACATGTCCTGAGTCCTATTTTGCAATTTTGTAATTTAAAAAAGAGCCCTTGAACACAGGGTTGTGTCATTAACTTTTTTCCTTTTAATTTTCTGAGTTTTTATAAACCACTAATATATGTGAACTTCTCTAAATCCTTTTCTTGCCTTCTAATTGCATTTTATCTTGGAAAAAATGATCAATAAGTTCTTGTTTCTCATCTCATTTTTAACTTTTTCATTATTCTTTTTGATCTAGGGCTTATCTGACTGTGTGGGATGTTTCTCTACTCTTTTACTAAATTATGAAAATAGTTTATAGTAAATTTAGACTATTACAAGATGAATATAAAAAGCATTTTCCTTAGAAATAAAACTTT